ACACTCTGCCAGTTGGAGTTCAGTTCCTGCTGTCAGACTTGCTTCTGAACCTTTCCCCAGACCTTGTCTAGCATCAGAGTTGGTCAGAGTAGGCCCAGACTTGACACTTTTACATCATCTGAAGCAGAGTCCTGAAAGGGCTTGGGGCCAGATGTAAAACCTTGCCTGCTTAAGTCCACTTGCAACAAAAAACGAAAAAAAGTTTCTTTTGATCTCCCAGATCTGGAGGGTAGTAGTGCAAAGACTACCATACAGTCTGAAAACTAATGCATGCTGAACTTGAAAGGCTCTGTGGAGGTCCCTTTGGTTTTGCAAACAAATGCTGGTCTGGTGTTCAAGGTCAATGCACTGCTTGATAGTGGTGCTACTGGAATATTTATAGATAGAAGTTTTGTGGAAAGGAACTGGATTCCAAAGATAGTGCTGCTGAGGGCAGTAGAAGTATTTAATGTTGATGGTTCACCTAATTCCACTGGAAGGATTACACATCAGGCTCACCTTCATGTCCAATACCTTGACCATCATGAGATAACTGATCTTGGAGGTAGTACCATGATCCTGGGACATACCTGGTTACATCAGCACAACCTGCTGATAGATTGGAAAACCAGTGAGGTCAAGATGGGTAGATGCCAACAGCTGGCACCAAAGTCCTCATTCATACATAAGGTGGAAAGGCTCAAATGGGAAGCCATGAACTCTTATGTCTCCTGGATTTGAAATCTAGGGATGGACAAACCTAAAATGGATAAAACCCCTGAGGAACTTGTTCCAAAGGCATATCATGAATATTTATCAGTCTTTTTGGAAAAGGAATCTGAGCATATGCTGCTTAGGAAACCTTGGAACCATGTGATAGAACTAAAGGAGTCATTTGTGCTGAAGAAGGGAAGGTTGATCCCTCTCTCCCCTGATGAGCAATGAGAAGTCAGTGATTTCATTGACAGTCAACTCAAGAAGGGTTATATTCAGCCTAGTAAATTGCCACAGACCTCTCCCATGTTCTTTGTTCCTAAGAAGGACAGCAAAAAGTGTATGGGCCAGGACTACCATTATTTAAATGAGCATACCATCAAAAACTCATATCTGCTCCCTCTAATATCTCAACTTGTTGACAAGTTGAAAGGTTGCAAACTCTTCATGAAGATGGATCTTTGTTGGGGATACAACAACATTAGGATCAAAGAAGGTGATGAATGGAAAGCTGCTTTTGTATGCCATCATGGTGCTTTCAAGCCCCTGGTCATGTTCTTTGGGCTTTGTAACTTGCCCACCATGTTTCAGAACATGATGAATGACATATTTGGCAATATGGAAGATGTGCTTGTAGTCTACATTAATGACCTAATGATATTTACAAAAACAGACAATCAGGAGGAACATGACAAGATTGTGCTGGAGGTGCTTAGAAGGCTAAAGATAAATGACCCATTTGTCAAACCACAGAAGTGTATCTTCAGACAACAAGAGGTGGAATTTTTAGGAATGATTGTTGGCATTAATGGAGTATGTATGGACCCTGCCAAAATCTCTGCTGTGCAAGATTGGCCTGTACCTACAAAAGTTCACAGAGCTCCCAGTTTCCTGGGCCTTGCAAACTTTTACCAATGCTTCATTAAGGACTTCATGCAGATCACAAAACCCCTAAATAACCTCACAAAGAAAGACCTTCCATTCATTTGGGATGACAAATGTCAGATGGCATTTGATACACTAAAGGAAGCCTTTACTACCACCCCTATCCTTATGTTCCCTGATCAAGATCAGAAGTTTCACTTAGAGACAGACACTTCAGACTATGCCACTGGAGCAGTGCTCTCAGTAGAATGCAATGATGGTCTCTGGAGACCAGTTGCCTACTCCAGTCACTCTCTATCTGGGGCTGAACTTAATTATACAGTTCATGACAAAAAAATGCTGGCCATTATCCATGTGCTAGAGCAATGGTGTCATTACCTTGAGGCTACTCCATACCAGTTTGAAATTTGGATGGATCACCACAACCTCAAGTGGTTCATGACTGCTCAGGGGCTTCAACCATGCCAAGTGCATTGGGTGCAGTACTTTAGTCAGTTTAACTGTGTCATAGTTCATAAACCCAGAGTCACAATGGGAAGGCCAGATGCCCTGTTGAGATGAGAGGACTTTATAGAGGGAAAAGAAAGGGAAAAGTCAGAAGAGTCCCTATTTATAAACCCAAACCAGGTTCATTTGGTAAAACTAGAAAATCCCTTCATGGAAGATCTGTGGATCAAGTCTGCTAGAGCCAAAGGAGTTCCTGCTGGATGCAGGCTCTGAGATGGTCTTTATTACAATGGAGAAAAAGTCTGGGTACCTAGCACACTCAGAAGGAAGCTGCTTAATGCTTTGCATGACTCTGCCCTAGCAGGACATTGTGGAATAAATGGAACTCAGGAGTTGATCACATGCTGGTTCACATGGTCCACCTTGAAACCCAATGTAGAAGAGTACATAAAGCATTGTCAAATGTGCCAAGCCAGCAAGTCTGGAAATAGGCCACCTGCAGGAGAACTCAAACCTTTACCTACCCCTGATGGGCCTTGGAGAGAATTGACAACCAACTTCATGGATCTTGGAGTCAAGGGTTCTTCTGGAAAGTCCCACATCCTAGTTGTTGTCAATAGATTCTCTAAGGAAGCAAAGTTCATTCCCTGCACTGCAGAAGAAACAGCTGCTAGCACAGCTCATCTTTACCTGGCACATGTTTGGAAGCACCACAGACTTCTGGACTCTATTGTATCAGACAAAGGCCCTCAGTTTGCCTTGGGTTTCATGAAGGAGTTATTTAAAATGTTGGGAGTACAACAGAACCTCTCTATGGTGTTCCACCTGCAAACAGACAGACAAACAGAGCAGTTGAACTGTGAGATTCAACAATATTTACAGATGTATGCCAACCAGCAACAGACTTGCTGGAAAAAGTGGCTACCTTTGGCACAGTTCATGTACAATAACTCTGCCTCTACTTCTACTGGCAAGTGCCCCTTCAAAGTTACCTATTCCTATAGACCTAGGATGGGCATCAAGCCAACAACTTTGAAGGTAGAAGCAGCAGAGGAAGTTGCCAAATCTTGGTTCCAGGTGTTCCAAGGTGTAAAAGCAAACCTTGCCAAAGCATGCTCTCAGCAAAAGCAGCAACTGGATAGATGCCACTCAGCTGCCCCTTCTTACTCCATTGGATCTCAGGTCTGGCTAGCTACAGACCATCTGTCCTTGAAAGAATGGCAGAGCCATAAACTTTCTGAGAGGTGGATTGGACCATACAAAGTTCTAGAGGTATTTCCAAATGCTCTTAAGTTAAAGTTGCCATGCAACACAAGGATTCACCTGGTTGTGAATGTCTCACAGGTTAAACCCTATCTCAGTGCTCTTGATGGGCAGCCTGTTAACAGGCCTGGACCACAGAGGGTTACTGATGAAGGAGATGTTGAATATGAGGTTGAATATGTTGTTGACTCCCATTTGAAACATGGAGCTCTTCAATTCCTTGTCCATTGGAGGGGATACCCCAAAGAAGATCATACTTGGGAGCCAACCTCTGCCTTGAAGAACTTGCAATTGGTGATCAAGGATTTTTACTGATCCCACCCCAGGGCCCCCTGTAAATTATCTCTCCTTTCATCAGAAAGCTTCAATAGCTTGTTCACACCCATGCTGGAACCATTTACTACCATTTGTCCTATTTGGTCTCACCTGGAAGTCAAGCCTTAGGAGGGGATAGTGTAATGATCAGAAGACTTTTCACTCCTACATTTCCTACTTGCCTATATATATCCATCCTCTGGTTAGGGTTATGCTTTAGGGATGCTTAGTCATCTCAGACTTTTCCTTTGCTTATCCTTTCATGCTTACATGTTACTTAGTAAGGCTGTGCCTCACTGACACCATGTGTTCACATTTGACCAATAGTGTAGTTTTCTATTTTGTTTACTTTCTTCTTGAATGTTCTCTCATGGCAGTATGTACAAACAGTAGTGCAGTATATAAGTCCTGTCATTTGTCATAGCCAGTTTCTCTAATCTAATTCATTTTGAGCTTGGTACTCAATCAACAGGTTCTACTCCCACACTCTCTGGTTTGAAGTGATAGCTGAGAAGATTCATGGCTTTAGTTGCTTCACCAGTCTCCATGCAAAGTGTCTTGTACTGAGTTGGATTGGGAGCAGCAGCAAGATGAAGTAGATTGTGGAGGTACTCCTTTGAATCAGGATCTTGGAGGTCATAAGGGCTACAGTCAGCATGATTACTACCTTCAACATTATAGTTGTTCAGAAGGAGCAGTGTGGGATCGTAATGATTGCCTTTGCAGCACCTGCACAAGCCACAATAGGGTTGGCACCCATTTCAACCACTATGCCCCACCATTCCATCAAAATATTTGAGACTGGGACCATCAGCTGTTGCAAAGATAAGAAATAAATCTGAAACAAAAGCAGCATCATGGCATGCATCCCAGATTGTTAGTCCTTCATTCTGTAAGGCAGCAAGGTGGTGCAGGCCAGGGAAAAGGAATGAGTCAACATTCTTGGGTTTGTGAGGTCCAGGAATGAAGCCACTGGGGAGGACATAGTGCTTCTTGTAGCACTTGTCTGAGGAATGGTTCATGATGACCCATATGTAAATCCAACAGTCTGATTCCTTACTTTTGTACAGTTGTGTGCCATTGAGGGAAATCATGAGGACAATGTCTTGAGGTTTAATGTGACCTTGCTGAATGGCACCCAGGTAGTCCAAGCCTTGGTACAATGGTTAATATTACTGCACTGGACATCCTCAGGTGAGCACATACCTTTGCAAAAGTCATCATATGTATTGATTATGCTGCCATTGTTATGGATCTGTTCACGAATCCACTGTCTCTTGTTGTAGATAGCCACTCTCCTTGGCTTGCTGGGGATCACACCAAAGGGCTTGGAGTTGTGGCCCAAGTGGTATCATCATGAACATCTGGCAGGCAATGGGACACTGACCTGCACTGACTCACAGTTTGATGGCATCATAGTGATCCTCCTCACATATAGGACATTTGTCAAGTGCAGAGTATGGGCCTGTGAAGGCCACACAACTATCAGGACACATATCATGTTCGATTGACTCAACTCCAGTATATTCAGTGATGAGCTTCTCGATATTGTAATAGCTTGGGATGGATATGGCCCTCCCTTCAAAACAGCATGCAGCAGATTGTTGTATGGATTCATATGCCAAAATTGCAGAGTGTTTGAGTGAGAAATACACCTTGAGTCCAAAACAGATTACATCATCATCTATTTCAAGTTGGGTGCACAGGGGGTTGCATAGTCTATGGAGGGCTGCATCATCTAGTTTAGCAACTGGGTCATCCAGAGAAGCTGCATGGAGAAGTTTGATGAATGCAACCACATTGCACTGCTTCAGGTTGATGGCCACTTGGTCCAGCAAATCTATATTGAAGACTAAGCGAGAGGGAGGGCACTGATCATGAGAAAATGACTGGGGAGGTGAGTGTGATTGGTGAGGTGACTCCAGCAGATGGGGGGATCACAAGCCTCCATGGTCATGGTCATCCAAGGGGAATTGTAGGGGAGTACATGGATGATGGTCATGGTTGTCCACTGGGTTGTTGCCATCATCTGAGGGGAATCACAGGGGAGTACTTGGATGATGGTCACAGTCATCTGCTGGGTTGTTGCCATCATCTGAGGGGAATTGTGGGGGAGTCCTTGGACAATGGTTGCAGTCATCTAAGGGGAATTGGATTTGACCATGCTCTGCTTCTAACACAGAGGAATGCATGTGCATATGGACCTGTAAACCAATTGGGACCTCATTGGAAAACCTATAGGTATGAAAGGGGAGGAACATACCTCCTCCATGTGCTGATCAGCTCTGGCCACCATGCTTGACTATATGTAGTTTTTATAGTGAAATGAAATCACTATTAAGTTAAAAAAGATATACCTTGTGCTGTATTGAGTGCACCCATTTGGCACATCCTTGAGCCACATCTTGAAGCAACCAAAGATACAAGTCTTCTCAGCTATCACTTCAAACCAGAGAGTATGGGAGTGGAACCTGTTGATTGAGAAACAAGCTCAAAATGAACTAGATTAGAGAGACTAGCTATGACAAATGACAGGACTTATATACTGCCCTACTGTTTGTACATACTGCCATGAGAGAATGTGTTGGAGATATATTCTCCCCTGTGTTCTGCTCACTTTGGTGCGATGTTTGGGTGCTTACATAATCACCTTAGAGCGCACATTTTACAGTAGTTTATTCACTGTTCCCTCAGTAGCTTGTTGCACTACTGAGGGTAAGCTCACTTTCACTACCAGTATTATACTTACTGGTATCCTGTAGATACCTACAGGTTGGTCTAATACATTAGTAGCTTGTTGCACTACTGAGGATACCTACAGCATCCTTCAAGAGAATGTTCAAGAAAGAAGTAACACTGCAAGCATTTCACAAATTTTCATGACAAGACATGTTGAAAAAATTGAAAGAAGAGATACCATGTTATTTGGGATGATTTCACACAAAACATACAAGAGTAATGTTTTATTTTCTCTGCATGTCCTACCTGTAAACATTAATTGATGGTAATGACCATTAGCTTCTAGTCTAATGGGTATTACCATCAATTCATGTTTGCTGGTGGAGAAGGCAAAGAAAATGAAATATTATTTTTGGATTTTGTCTGTAAAAGCATCCATAAAAACATGGTATCTTTTCCTTCAATTCTTTTCAACATGTTTGGTCATGAAAAATTGTGAAATGCTTGCAGTGTAAACAAAAGAGAGAACTATGCTATTGGACAAATGCAAACATGTGTTAGCAATGAGGTATGGCCTTACTAAGTATCATGTAAGCATAAGCAAAAAAGTAAAGGAAAAGTCCAAGATGACTAAGCATCCTTAAACTGTAACCCTAACCAGAGGGTTGATATATATAGGCAAGTAGGAAAAGCAGAAGTGAAAAGTCTACCAGTTGTTACACTATCCCCTCCTAAGGCTCGACTTCCAGGCAAGACCAAATAGGACAAACAGTAGTAAACAGGTGTGAACAAGCTGTGAAAGCTTTCCAATGAGAGGAGAGATAATTTATGGGGGGCCCTGGGATGGGATCAGTAGAAATCCTTGACCACTGACTGTGAATTCTTCAAGGTGGAGGCTGGCTCCCAGGTATGATCTTCTTCAGGGTATCCTTTCCAATGCATGAGGAATTGAAGAGCTCCATGTTTCAAACAGGAGTCCTTCAAGGACAGGTGGTCCATAGCTAGCCAGACCTGAGATCCAACAGAATAAGAGGGAGCAACTGAGCAGCATCTATCTGCTTGCTGCTTCTGCTGGGAATGCACCTTGGTGAGGTTTGCTTTTACATCTTGGAACACCTGGAACCAAGATTTGGCAACTTCCTCTGCTGCTTCCACCTTTGAAGTCATCAGCTCAATGCCCATCCTAGGTCTATAGGAGCAGGTTACTTTGAAGGGGCACTTGCCAGTAGAAGTGGAGGCAGAGTTGTTATATGCAAACTGAGCCAAGGGTAGCCATTCCTCCCAGCAAGCCTGTTGCCAGTTGGCATAAATCCATAAATACTGTTGGATCTCATGGTTCAGCTGCTCTGTCTGTCCATCTGTCTGTGGGTGGAATGCTGTAGAGAGTTGCTCTTGTACTCCCAACATTTTAAATAATTCCTTCATGAAACCAGAGGCAAACCAAGGGCCTCAGTCTGATATGATAGAGTCCAGAAGTCCATGATGTTTCCAAACATGCACCAGGTAAAGACAAGCTGTGCTAGCAGCCATTTCTTCTGCAGTGCAGGGGATGAACTCTGCTTCCTTAGAGAACCTATCAATGATGACCAGGATGTGGCACTTTCCAGAAGATCCCCTTACTCCAAGATCCATAAAGTTCACATAGTGTAGTCACACTTAGTCACAACACATGGGCAGCCTGTGCACCAAAACACCAACACTTATATAGACCCCGAGATGGGCCCACCTAAATAGATTAGCCAGTACACATGGACAGGCCTGAGGGACTAAAGTGAGAGCAACATATGTATGGGCCCATAAGTGCATTACCACAACATATGGGAGGGCCCATGGTGGGTAAGGATGCTGAAACATTTAGATGGGCCCATGACCAATTATGTATACTGAGCTGCTGTAAGACATGGATGGGCCCATCCTGGTAGGTTACACCCCTGTCACAACATCAAGGTGGGCCTGCCTATCATAACATGGAGAGGGTCACAACATAAGGACAGGCCTGGGAGTAATATCATTTATGGTGTCACAACATCTAGACAGGCCCATTCATAATAAGCTGTACCCCTGTTGCAACATCTAGACAGGCCTGTCACTAGTATCATTTAATAGAGTCACAACATCAGGTCAGGCCCATCAGTAGTATTATGCAACATATGGATGGGCCCATCCACAGTAAGATGTACCTCTGATGAGACATAAAGACAGGCCTGTCAGTAATCTCATGTATAGCATCACAACATATGGATGGGCCCTTCAGTAGTATTTATTTATATTGTCACAGCATATGGGTGGGCCCAGCCCTAGTAAGATGTACCCTGTCGAAACATAAAGATGGGCCCATCACTAATATCATTTAATAGAGTCACAACATATGGACAGGCCCTTCAGCAGTATTATTTATATTGTCACAACATATGGGTGGGCCCGGCCCCAGTAAGATGTACCCTGTCGAAACATAAAGACAGGCTCATCACTAATATCATTTAATAGAGTCACAACATATGGATGGGCCCTTCAGTATATTATTTATATTGTCATAGCATATGGATGGGCCTGTCCACAGTAAGATGTACCTCTGACAAAACATAAAGATGGGCCCATCAGTAATCTCATGTATAGCATCACAACATATGGATGGGCCCTTCAGTAGGATACAACTATGCAAGATTACTATGATCAGAGAATATGACAAATGGCACAGATGGAGTTTCGTATGGAAGCTACAGCAACTATGAGCAACAATGACAAGGGCAGCTGTGGCAGCAACACAAGTGACAGTGACAATGACAGAGATGCAAGTGATGACAATGCTTGACACAGACTGAAGGCCATGCAATGCAAGAATGGCTGTTTGATGGAGACAAGGTGTGACAATCATGGATGCTGAACTCCAACTAGCAGAGGATCAGCAGGAACAAAGTCCACCAAGGCAGAAGCAGAACAGAGTGAGGGCATCAGGTTTAGCTCATGCACTACCCCCTTGCACAATCTCAGCCCTCATATTTCAGAGGTAGAGACCAGATGGAAGATCAGAGATAACTCCAACAGACAGAAGACAGAGAGATATGGAGTAGGAACTTAGATGGTATTCATACTGAAGAACAGCAGAGTACTGTACAGGCTTTTATACTACTATGGAGGTACAGTAATCAGAATCAGAACTGACATACAGAGACTCATAAATTTTCAGGTAAAAACCTCCTGGATGATGAATGAAGGGGAGATGGGGAACATATGATGGGTAACATAGAACAAACCAAAAAGGAAACAGTCTAGGTGCTGAACCATGAGGTGCACATGCTGTGGAGTACCTGACTGCATGCTGTCAAGGAGAAGTCCAAGGGCTGGACTGGCAAGGGGCACATGACCCACTGGAAGACAGTCCACATGGTCCAACAGTAGGCAGGGTGCAGAAGACTTGCAAATGACAGAGGACTGGCAGAGTTGGTGTGGAGTGAGTGGAATGACCAGTGGAGTAGGGTGCAGAGTGGGTGGGGACATAGGATAAATGAATGGTCATGACAGAGGGCACAGATCTTTACAGACTCATCACCCACTGAAAAAATTACCTTTGCAATCTCCACATATATGTCATTCTTCCTGTGGCACAACTGCTGCTTACTTCTACCTTCCTCCTGAGCATCCTGCATAGAATCAGAAAAGATCTTCTTGCAAGATGCTTCATGAGTTTTACACCATTTGATCAGGTGATCAGTTCATGCAGCATGCAACTTTTCCCACTGAATTCAAATATTTGGCTGCTTTGCAACTGATCTGGCAGACTGCGATGATGGGAGACCAGGAGAGCCTGGCCCAGTTGCTGGGGCCATTGCTATGTTGAGTGAGCAGTGAGAAGTGAGTGGTTCAAAGTTTACAAAACTCAGCTGAAGTTCAATTGGAGTTTCAACCTCTGGGTTCTCAGCCAGAAACTCACTGAAAAACACATGAGAAACATGCAAACCTCCTCAGACTTTGAGCCAACCTAATGAGGGGTGTACTTTTGCTTTGTAAACCATGGATAAATGCCACAGTGGAATTTTTGGTAGTGTCTGTGGGCAAAAGGGTAGTAGACTTCAAAGGGTATAAAGATAGATCAGAAACATAGGGGGAACACACAAAG